ATCTATATTTTAGGCTTATGTGATCAGTAAATGTTCTGCTAAAATGTTTGTCAAAGAGATAGGTAAAACCACTGAAATTATTCTAGACAAATAGTCTTATTAATTACTTCAACATATTACTCCAACTTTCATTTCGAACAACGAATTATTATATATACTGAGGACTATCTATTACCATTACTCTTTCCTTTAAAAGTAATAGCCATTATATATGGAATATTCTCAAGAAGGTTGTTAACTGGAATCACAATTGAATAAATATAAACAAGGTAGGAATGCTAAAAATTCCAACACTGTAAAATAGTACAAGATACCCAGGCGAACAATATTGTTGCCAATTAGATCCTCATCAGGCTTTATTCTAATATGCAATTATATATATATATATATATATATATATATATATATATATATATAATTAATTAGGGCAGTTTGTGAGTCACTGATAACAGTAGAATAGATTACATAAATAAACATAATAAGCAAAAAGTACAAATTGATAGGGCGAAGACGGGTGTACTAGTTATGACAAAAGTACTAAAGGCTTAAGTCAATGTTTCTCTTGGCTCAAATTTCTGTGACTATGGTAATAGAATAAGTCAACTAGATACCCATGTGCAGTTTGAAAATTCATTTTCACAAACAACAGATTTGGTCCACACTTCACTCAAGGAACTTATTAGATTTCAGACCACATTGGTTGACATCTGCCGACGATACAAAAATAGTAAATATACCATGGAATCCAAACCAACTGAACAGCATCAAGATGCTTTACATAGACTTAGAAAAGATAACAATTGATTCATAAGCAAGCCAGGCATAACAGTGGACTAATTCTGATCAACAAAGCAGATTGGGTCAATAAAATATACTCATTTTTGAATGATGCACCTAAATTTCAAAAACTCAGCGACGTTAAGTATTTAAATATGAAAGCTAGGTAACTATTGATTAATTCTCTCAAAGTATTGAGAAAAGTGTTCAATTACTCTATCCATCCATGATTCACTTAAATCTACGATATCAAACACGCCACAAATCCATGGTTTACTCAAAGTCCAAACGTCAGGACTTCCTCTTCAACCAGTTTTAGCTATATATAACTCCCCATACCATAAAACTGTAAAGTGGTTAGTTTGAATCCTGGATCTCCTATACGAACTAGTTGTCAATAGAAGAGTTAGAGACATTTTTGATTTTATTTCTAAATTCGAACATAAGGACTTAAATGGGGAATTGATTATATCTCTAGATGATGATTGATAGCTTACCAATAGCGTACCGCAAATGGAAATAACTGATTTAGTGAGTCAATAGCTTCTTAAAAAAATTAATCAATATTGGAATTTCTGAGGTTAGTCTAAATGAATTACATTTGAAATGTGCAATGAACCTTTATTTTGTCTTCAATAATTCATATTATAAACATTTCGATGAAATGACAATGGGTCGATTCCTTTCTGATTTCTTTATTGGGAAACTAGAAAATGAACCTCTAAAAGAGATTATTAAAATCTTGAACTTAAGAGACGTAACATTGGTGATACTTTTACTATCGTCAATCAAAATATTGGAAAGGAATAACTGTCAGAGTAATTTAATAATATGTACTCAGTAATCAGATTCACGTGTGAAGAGAAACTTGACAACAAATTACATTTCTCTAAACAGAAAGCAAAATGGTTCTATCACCAGAAGTGTGTATGCAAAAAGTTCTTCAGGAAACCAGTGCACACAATTTTTAAGGTTTGTGTCCATTCATTACAAGAGAAACCTAGTTAGATATCTTGCAAGTAAAGCCAGAAAGTTATGCTTAAACGACACTATAAACAAGGGACTAGAGCGCAGGTGGGTGAGAATACACATTTTAACCACAATCCGTTTAATGTGATTCTATTTTTCCAAGTTGTTCATTATTGTTATTATTATTATATCCATTAGTGAGACGAAACTATCCTACTGTTCACTTTATTCACACGATTTATTGTATTACTATCGTATTGATTGTAACTTGACACCTTACAACAAATCATTCTGACCTTTAGTAAGCGGTCTTTCTAATTTACTAGTGACCATTTTGAAGTAGTTCTGCTGTAAGAGATGAAAAATTCACCAGTTTTAACACTTAACATTATTTAATTAACTAACATGCCTTATATTGGCCTTTGTAAGATAACACAATTATTATGGATTTATAACCGAAGAGCCTGATGATGAAATTACTGAAAATGATTGTTCCCTCAAATATTCTGTTTTTGTACTATTCACTTATTATGGTTATTTATGTAATCTATTCCACTGTTATCACTAACTCACAAACTCTCTTGATTGGTTTAATATTTTCATATATGCATATAAATAATATTTCATATTAGAGTAATGCCTGATTAGGATCTAATTGACAACAATATTGTCCGCTCGTATAAGATATACGTACTGAAAACACGATAGTTTACTCATTTAAGGAGCAGAATATCTCTAAGTAAATATATTGTGAACTAAATGAAGATTATTCAAATAACAATAAAAGATGATTGGTTTCTTACTTACTTACTTAATTTCGCCTGTTACTCCCAATGGAGAATCTTGAGTCAATATAAATACAATGATGTAAATTCAAATATTTCGAAGCTTATTATAACCTACCAGTTAACAAGATATTACATTTTATCAACTATCATTTAAGAGTTAATGAAAGCTAAATTAAATTCAATTTCTTATTTAACTATTTTAGCTGAAATGATAATTTGTAACATTCCATCAAATATAAATGAACTTATTAACTGATTATCGATCACACTAATAAGTTGATTAGTATCAGTATGGGGATACATACTTCTGAAGAGTCCCATACTAGGACGAAACGATCGTCCAGTGCTTGAAAGTTTTCGATGGTGGTTTAGCTTATATTGACTCGTGAATTCAAATATTGAATTGTTCATTAGTACTAAACTTAATATCAGTGAAATGCTGATGAAATTACTTGGTCATTTTCAATACAAATATGTATCTGTTTTCCTGGAACATCCTTCAGTGATATTTGGAAATGATCGTTATTTTTCAGCTAGTTTCATTTTATAGTTATTTCCAATAAATTTTAAGTATTTCTTTTGAGACTGGTTGCTCATGTCTGGAAAACTATATGTTCATATATCTTTTACTTTTTGAAATTACTTTTTAAATTTCATGTAGGGGCTTATGATACTTCTCTACCAGTGTCCAACCGCTCAGTTCGTCTAACAGTTTTTGTTCATATCTCCAACTTTGGTTTCACATCAGTTAGGTTTGAAGCAAAAGTCTCACCAGCAGGACAGAATTCTACAGTGAAGATTTGTGAGAGTCAACTCTCCTCATTTACAAATAGCAATGTGGTAAGATGAGATTAATTTTAAGTAGTCTGTAAAAACTGACTTACCTATTTTCTTCAAATACATAGCCTGGAAAAAGCTTCATTTCAATAAAGGATATTCCAATCTTAAATCAAGTCGAAAAGACTCAATTTTTCACAATTCAACTAACTGTCACACCAAATACATATTCTTACTATATTCTTCAGGCGAACTTCGAAAATAAAATACTTGGAGAATTGTGTTACATTGAATATTTGTTAGAAGAAACCAATGAAGTAAGAAAAGTAAGTTTAATGTGTTGTATCCCGGTAAATCATACAGTTGATCGACGAGCAACTAATTTTCTATCTATTTACTGGTCCTAGGAAGTCGTCCATTTTTGAACCTTGAGCCGAAAGCAAAAACAGAAAACATGAAAAATTTCTCACTATAAAGATTCAATTAGCTAGAGAAGACGAGGATATCTATAGGATTATGATTGACCATATAATTCCAGCATATTTAGGAAAAAAAGCCCAAAACTGATAATAAATGTAATAATTTATTTGTAAGTATCTGGAAAAGTGACATCGAAGCAATCCACTCTATATGAACTACTAACATGAAGACTGATCGAACACAGCCCTTAATATCAATAGCGGAAATAAGTAAACCCTTATAAATGAATTCGTACTCAATGAATAAGCTAATGGTTATCTAGACTTAACAGTTGAGTGCAAAACGCCTTTGTGTTTAAAATGACAGTTACTAGGCCTCTCTCTTGACGTGGATATCAACACTGGTATACAGATATAACCATCTGACGAAGCTTGAATGTGTGCCCTGGATTTCACTTCGAATCTCAATTTAAATAGAATAACATTCAATCATACAAAAAATTTGGTTGTCGAATCTGAATGAAGAAGACACGATCAGTTTTTTCCCAGATTATTTTGAAAGTTCTAATAATTGCTGACTGGTCAGAGAAATTCCAACATTTTCCTTGGTTTCTAAAGAACTTATCGCGAAACTCAAGAGAAATTCCAAGACATTTTTTGTATACAGAGATTATCAAATGACTCAGGTACGACATAAATAACGCTACTGTTGTACACTAACAAACTAACCTTATTTCCTGGAAAGAATAAATTACCATTAAAATGTCAAACATTTTGTTGTTGTACTTAAGTGAATACATTATGATTGTAATTAAGAAATAAAAAAAACCCAGTCAGTTTAAAATAAATGAGTGAGGTCAGAAAACATAAATCCTAATTTATGTTAAAGTATGATAAATGGAGATAGTACCGATAATCTCAAATATGTAGTAACTGGAGATTTTTTTATTGTGAAGTTATTCCATCGAATATATTAACAAGATATGACTTGAAGATAACCTGTCGTAAAATCTCGTTAGGTGTACACCAGAAGCTATAATATAACACAAAATAAGTATAACTGCAATTCAGTATGTGTGTACTGATTGGTCGAATATAAAATAAGACTATTGACTAAACGTATATGACGGGCGTCAAATACCAGTTTACTTTCTGATCACTGATTTTAGAAGTGGACAGAAACTGATTTAACTATCCTAGATGTTTATAATCTTAATAAAGATTGGAGAAATTTAGTTATTCTCTTGCTTACAAGATTATTACTTTTTGCATGAAACAATCCCTACTAATGAAAGTTATTAAAATTCGTGATCAGAAAGATTTTCAAAGGTTAGCTTTATTGGGTGGAAATGAAGTCACAGGAAGTGTTAATGGTTTATATATTGCTTGAAACCTTGATAAACAACTCGTTTTCCATATTTCACATCTAGTAAATGTGTATTATAACAAAAACGATTTCAATGAATTTATAGGTAATTTTATTTCAATATTTATTATCAAGATATTAACGTCATACTGTTGGTGATGTCAAATCTTCAGAACTTACTTGGTAAATGGCTCAATTTTGTAATTTCATTTTGAAAATTTGAATTTCCTTGTTTTCGCGCCAAAGCGCTCTTTTCACCTTCAAGTCGTATTTCCCACTTGTAAAATATCTTAAGTGCTGTTGGTCCATTGTATCTTGAGTGTGCTATTTTGTAATGCTGCGCAAGGACAAATTATCGCTGTAAATATACGTTTGAGTTTTTTCCCCTTATGACTTGCTTGTACTCGGCTGCTTACGGAATATATATTCCCCTACTTTGTCTTGGACTTCTTCCTCTAGTTAGTGGGGCCTGAGACAACATATTAGATTAGCTTATCGTGTCATTGTGTCATTGGCCTTCGTTCGTTACCGCGAAATCGACTTAGCTCAAGCATAACACATACTTCAAACATTCGGGAACTGATAATAAAAGGTAACTATTTCTGAACGATAATATCTGATGCCATTAATACTCAGAAAGAGGTTCACACTTCCATTAAGTTTGAAATTTAACAGTTTTATTTGTTCCTCTTTGCCTGTAATGAATATTTTTCACTAAATAATTTCATTATACAACATTTTGATTATTTTTTCCCATTCAAATCACCTTCAAACACTACAGGTTAGATTAATATCGGAATACACGTTATTGAACTCACTAAGAGTTGGGAGTAATACAACACTTGGTATATTCGAAAATAAAAATACCTGGAATATCACTTATAATTTTGTGTTTGGAATAAAGTTATGCTATGGTACCAATTACGTAACTGGTGATGTGATCCAAATACAATTTACTTTATATACAGATATATTAACTGTGAATACACAGAATGTTATATTTTCAATAAATTCTATGATCCAGCCACCATCTATTGTTCCTGTAAGTTTTTTTAATTTGTTAGTCTATCTTAAGCACATACTTTGATAATACATCTTGTTTAAAAAAAATTTAACTTCATCTGATGTTATTCTATATATATTACATGCATATTTTGAGTTAATGATCGAGTTGTTACTGAAACATAATGTATCTATGTATTTTTGTAACCGACTAGTTGATCGACATGGAATAAGGAATAATTGACCAAGTTATCAATATAATTAATTAATCAAATTACAATCTAATTGATAATCTCTTCTGATATACTACTTTCTCAAATAGATTATAAGAGCGACCTTAAAACAACCTGACAAATTTAGAAATTTTATTAACTTTTAAAACAAATGAAATGAGCGTTGTGTAGATTGTTTATGATAGTAAAGTGTTATGTCTGTGGAATACTTTATTGAATTATACTTAGTATGGAAACCTCAAACCCGACGATCTATATTAAGAACAGAAAAAACAGTCGGTTAGAATTTATTTGACTCCTAATACAAATCACAATATATATGAATACATTTCTTCTTATATGATTGATTTATAGTTAGATTAACTGACAGATTCGCATAATTCGAACTAAGTAGTATTTGACATCAATAATTAACTGTGTGAGTATAGATTTACCATATCATACAGTTAAGCATCTATAACGAACATATGTAACTAATTCACTGAATTATAGAATTACTCCTCAAAATGTGATACAATGTCACAGACGATTAATTTCACATGTTAATCGTACTCCAATCGATTCAGCCATTACTTTTAATATCACCTACCTCATGAAATAATATGGGATCCTTTTGCGATAATATGTTTGTAGTAGCCTAATAAGTAGAAAAATTTATTTCTGACGTTTTACGAGTCAGCATGAATTACTTCTCCATAGAATAGACCAATGAATCAAATTGATGCTAGTTTAAATACTACAGAGGAACAAATCATGTATGTAGTACAAAGAAAACAGGTTTGATCATGTTATTGTCATGTCAATCAAGGTAAAGTGGATCTAATGTTAGAAATATTTGTATGTAGTCGTCTGTATCTGAGTGGGTGTGAAAATGTGACATGTGCAATGTGTGGGAGTGTAGCTAATTTTATCGGTATTTGTAGTTTTAAATTAGTAAGTTTAATGTGATCATTTGTTTGCACCGAATATTTGTGTTATTGCCCTGAGTTGTCCACGACTATTCACACATCCATTAAAGTTGTAAGTGTAAATCATTCAATTCGGACTTACTGATCTAAAGGTTAAAATCCCAACGGCAGAATTCAACACTGTGGATTCAATCATGGATGGAATTGTGGATATACACTGGTAAGGAATCCAATACTTGAACAGGATATCTGCCCACTGCTTTCAGATTCTTAACGGCGTTTTAACTGAGCCATGTCCATGATGTAAACCATAAAGCAACATAGATTCACTCTTGGTAAATGAATCGTGGAAACATTCTGAATTCTCTCATAGTGAGAATGAAGTGGTAGTTCGAAACAACTGTAAGATAATCGTTCACTGTTATATATTTTGATCATGGATTTCTTCAATAAAGAAAAGTTGTATGAACATGGTTATAAAGATTCAAGAACAATCTAGACATCTTTTCTTTCTGAAATTAGTATTAAATATTTGTTTATCCTCACTTGGTATTGTTTGTTTGAATCTTCTCATCGATTTTGTTAGGACTGCAACTGGTCAGTCTCTAATTGGCATATGTGCATACTGTGCGTATTACCTCGATATAGCCTTGATTCACAAGCATGATAAGCAAAGATGGATAGTGGCTAGCAGTGGAATCCGGGATGACCTAATTTGACTATTGTACCTTTCATAGTCAAATGTAATTGTCTCTCTTATCTTTATTCACAAATTATTATTATTTCGATTATGTGATAAGAAGACGAAGATTATCAGAACTATGTGATATATTAGCGCAATACATTTCGAACAATCTGATCACACACGTACTTGTTAAGAACATTTATATATAAAAATAAAAGGTCAAAACAGACGTGGACGGGTCAATATATTAGTTACTATAATTATTGCCCTGTGCAATACAAACGTGGTTTGGTAAAGTGCCTTTTTAACAGGCTTCGTCGTATTTGCACAAACGACTCTATTGATGATGATGATGATGATGATGATGATGATGATGATGATGATGATGATGATGATGATGATGATGATGATGATGATGATGATGATGATGATGATGATGATGATGATGATGATGATGATGATGATGATGATGATGATGATGATGATGATGATGATGATGATGATGATGATGATGATGATGATGATGATGATGATGATGATGATGATGATGATGATGATGATGATGATGATGATGATGATGATGATGATGATGATGATGATGATGATGATGATGATGATGATGATGATGATGATGATGATGATGATGATGATGATGATGATGATGATGATGATGATGATGATGATGATGATGTTAAATTGTTAAACAAGACATTAATGGGGAATGGTTATCCACTCAAATTTATCAATAGATGGAAAGATCATGACACAGTGAGACTTGCTGTAGCCTTGATGGAGAAAAAGCCTGTCTACATCACTTGACCATTTAGAGGTGATTCAAATAGCCTTTCATTGAAACAAAGGCTTAATTCTGTCTGTCATCAACAAAACGTATTGTGCAGCGAAGGTCATAATCAAAGGAAGAACGAGGTCCATGCTTCATTCAAAATCTACAAGTCATGAAAACGATTGTGTCACATCATACTGCGTTTACCAATTTAAATGTGTGTGTGGTCACACATACATAGGGAGGAGCAATCGTGATCTGAAAATTAGTGTGGGTGAACATGTACCAAAATGGTTGCAAAAACAAATACAGTTGAATGACCCAATAAGAGTAGAGAATAAACATCCATCATCCTCTATTGCCAAACATTTAATCGAAACAGGTCATAAGATTGATCTTAACTCGGCTTTTTTTGTGTTGTATAAAAGTGTAAAAGGGCGTATACTAAGGTTTATTGAAGCCTTAACTATACGAAAATTCAAACCCCATTTGTGGATTCAAAAACAGTTTGTTCTCTCCTTAAACCCTTGTAATATTAGCTTATTATCCAGTGATTAGGTGTCAAATTGTTTTCACATTATTTTTATTATTATTATCCTGGACTATTCTTACCCTCATTTTATTTATATATATAAATGTTCTTAACACGTATATGCGTGATCAGATTGTTCGAAATGTATTGCGCTAATATATCACATAGTTCTAATAATCGTCGTCTTCTTATTACATTATCGAAATTTATCAAAGGGACTAATTGCTTTAAAATTATTTACTATAGTTGAAAGCGTGAGTCAATTGAAGCTAGACCACCATGGAAAACCTGGAAACACTGGACGTCCGTTTAGTCCTATTATGGGACTCCTCAGCAGTGCGCATCCACGAACCTGCTCTCGCAAGCGAGATTCGAACCCAGCACCTACCAGTCTCGAGCCGAAGCCCTTAACCGATAGACCACTGAGCTGGCATCCAACGGTGTTAATGTCTAACTTCAACTGATCCACGAAGTTGAGCAACCATTCACCAATTGTCTTCAGTGAGTTCCTATCTCACAACAGACGTGGTTTTGAACTCCATTGGTCACTGCTTCTCACTAGAGCTCCTAGATATACTTCTCGAAGTCACTAGTGAGCATATGATTACTTCGTGGATCAGTTGAAGTTAGACATTAACACCGTTGGATGCCAGCTCAGTGGTCTATCGGTTAAGGGCTTCGGCTCGAGACTGGTAGGTGCTGGGTTCGAATCTCGCTTGCGAGAGCAGGTTCGTGGATGCGCACTGCTGAGGAGTCCCATAATAGGACTAAACGGCCGTCCAGTGTTTCCAGGTTTTCCATGGTGGTCTAGCTTCAATTGACTCACGCTTTCAACTATAGTAAACACTAAATCTCCACAAAACCCCTTCTATAATTAATAGTTTATTTGTAAATATTCTGCTCTTACGAAAAGTGAATAATCGAAATCACTGTTATTATCCACTTAAACAATGATATTTCATTAAAAAGTCACTAATCGAATAGAAAAAGATACTAGTATTTATAGTGGAAGTTTTCGCTTTTGTAGTCATTTTCTCGATTTAATTATGAGCTTGCCAGTGTTAAATGGAAATAGTTTCGGATTACAGAAGCCTTCGTCACTCGACTTGAAACCTATAAAAATTGTGGATGAATGTAAACTGATTTTCGAACTTTATAAACAATAATCTACTTCATTGTTGCTGTTTGTAAACTCCTGAATACAGCCCTCCAAATTTCCAACACTTACTATTGAAAAAATAGAACCACGAAATTCACAACCACTGGTGAACTTTTCCGCCGTTGTCGAATGCCGTGTAAAATTTTTTGAGGATTTAGTTTACACACCAGCCACTCTCCGGATACAAGCAAATCCAGCTTATGGTATCATATCTAGACAAAAAATCCAGACAGTTGGATATTTATTGAAAAGTATAGTGCCTGTATGGCCTACTTACACTATAAAACCGTAAGTAATAATAGTTAAGTATACCCATTTTATTTTCTTCTATGATAATTATATGTCTAATTATCCCTTGCTGTCTCAAATTTCAACAAAAACAAAGTAGTCTTCATAAAATATGATCTTTCATAATCAAGATTGTTAAGCAGAAAAGAGTAAAACTGTTGAAGCTGAGGCGAAGAAGAATAGTTATTCGTTAAATAGCCCTCAAGAAACATTTTGCTGGCACTCAACCTCGTTGCTCATCTGAATAAACCCAACAAAATAAAATACTTCAAATTTTTCTTCATACACCTTGAGGGGTATAGTAATTTCTTTTGTGGATATACTTTGATCAGGAATCATGGGATCAGTAATTATTTAAAAACTGACAAAGGCATTTTCGTTATATTTCTAAGCTAAAATATTTGCAGAAACTTTAACTTGCTTGCAGATAAAAAGAACGTAAGTAACGAAAACTTTGTAGATTCGTTGTATAAAGAAATCTGAATGATCGGTGTAGAATGCATGTACAAAAACATACACAACTGTAGCTACATATATTCATCTTCAAATCCGAATCTATTCTTAACTAATTATTAAAATTGAAGTGATATGTTGTCAAGAGTTGAATATCAGATAGTGAAAGGATGTTGTGTAATAATCGTTTGTAAAAAGGTGACAAGGTGGATAAAAACTGTCCACTTGAGTGCGATCAAGAACAGAATATTTAAGAGGTGTAATAACTGCTACTTAATAGTTGTGAAAACAATCGGAATAATATCATAAAGATAAAATAGATTATGGAAGATAGGAAGGGTGGCTAAGATCATAGAAGAATGAAAGACTGAATATACTGTTTGTGTACGCAAAGGTTAGGCCTAAACTGGTGGGCAGCAATAGCCTCTTCTGATTGTATGTATGATTTTGAAGCAGGCTTCTGGTGAAGTGGAGTAGCCAGAATTGACTAGATGCTCCAAGATTGAGCTTGTGACTCACTCCTGTAATTTTTTGTGCAGCTAGACAGGGTAATGTTCGGTGATGTGTTCCGAAGAGCTAACTTTGTGCGGCAAATGTAACCAGCTCCACATGAACAAGTAAAATGACAGATGTATATTGATTTGGCCCTAAGTGGGAGCTTACCCTTCACACAACTTCAAACCATAGACAGACTAGAAAAGGTAATGCAAAGTTCAGTCGAACAGAACGTTTTTCTCAAAGATCTTGCAAGCCTGTTTTCCAGAAATTCTACTGCAATATCTCCTTTAAACCGAAGATTCATGAAGTGATCCTCCTTTGATGTTGTGGACACTCTTTCAAGTCGTTGTTTTGGCTTTAGATTTTTCCCCATGAATCTAGATAAATATCTATTGTTGATCAATATCTTCCGTAGTTTATCAAGCTCAATGTTGATTTTAACCTCGGTACAGATAAGTCTAACCCACTAACAAAATGGATTACGTTTCATTTTTGTTTCAGTGGGAAGCAACTTTGAAAATTCATGTATTAACCATTCCATGTTTACTTTCTATATATCGATCTTCGTAGAGAATCGTCAGTTCTACTTCTAAGAAGTAGAATTCTGAATCCGACTCTGATTCTATTGTGAACTTAATTGATTAATGACAGATATTGAACGCGTTCAGGATATCAGTGAAAGTGATAATTTTATCACAAATAATGAAAGTGTAGTCTAAGTATCTCTCATATAGATAAAAGCTGTCAGTTGTTGGTCCAAATATAGTGTTTTCGAGATTAGCAATTAGGCAGTCAGCTAGAAGTGAGCCGATTGGTGATCCCACCGATACGCCGTAAGTTTGTCTGTACAACTCACTGTTAAATTTAAATTAGACGTCAAGAGTAAATCGAATATGTAGTGCCTTCAAATAGTGTGTTGGAACACTAACATAGAGTTTGTTTTTTCAATATAATCATGTAGTAGGCAGATTTTTTCCTTCACACGTACATTTGTAAGACGAGAGGCAGTATCTAGTAAGGTCATCTTCTTTCCGATTAAGTGGACACTTGATATTGGATCAACACAATCAAACGAATCAGTAGTGATGTATCCATTGAGTTGATTTCTGACTGGTCATATGATTTCAGCTAGCCATTTGGCGACGGTATGATATGGCGAGTTATTCATATCTAGTATAGGACATAGTAGGGTATCTTTCTTATTTATATGGTCATATAATAGAATAATTGGTCCAGTTGGTCTACGTTTTTCATAGAGGTCTCCCCTGATAACTGACTTATCTTTCCTTTTCTTAAGAATTTTTTTTACTTTCAGCCCACCTTGATCTCTAGTCTGTTTTCGGACTTTTCCATTGTTCGTCACTTCAATAAATTTTAAATAGTTCAACAACTTGTAAAGATCAGTTGTTCTAGAAATTTCTGTAACTAATCTGAATCCAAGTGCAGTTTTCAGTTGTTTTTCCATCTGTTTATGTGTATTTTAGGGATTAATTTTGGTGACTATTGAAATCAATCAAATTAATAGTTTCAACGACACATTGTTACGTATAAATGACATTAAGTAAGGAAAGTAGGAAAACTTGCGATATTTAATTGTAACGTCCAATGTTTAAAGAAATCTATAACCGATGTTATGTTCTCTCCATGTCAAACCTTATCAAGATGAGTAATGAAGCGAACTGACTGTGCATTATACGTGTATTACCGGAATACTCTGTTCTTTTCTTGACAAAATAAAAAAAACTTATACCTTCATCATATTTTGACAAATCAACTCTAATTTAATTTATCTACTTCTTCACTTATAGACATCATCAGGATTCGAAATTATTTTGGTGATAATTACAACTTTCATTCGTAGCTAACGCAGTCATCAGTACATGACAATAATTGGTCGTAAAAAATATTTCAATTTTCTAAATGTATCCCTGAAACTGTTCGATCTTCAGTTTCATATTGTTGAGGGTACATATTGAAGAGTGAAATTAATTCATTCAGTGATTTGTGAATATATGCTCTTTAGTATGGTCTCTGAATAATGAGAGAAAAGAAGTTGAAAGCTGTACCTTGTACAGTTAGATCATTCAATGATCATAAATATTAATCTTTAAATTAGGAATAATATCTCTTATAATAATCATGCTTAAATTAGACATAATGTCATACTCCCTGTTATTCATCTGAAAAACATATCAGATATAATTTGAAACTTTTATTTTGGCGAAATCCAATTTCACAAGTAGTTTTATTGAATACTAAACTGTCTGTAAGCCAGAAAATTAAAAAAAATTGATAAGTATGTTAATATACTCTTACTAGTCTGAAAGCTAATAATAAACTTTCTTATAAGAAAAGATGGATAGTGGCTAGCAGTGGAATCCATGACGCGCGCTTCGTCCTATTTGGGACTCGTCAGCTGAATGTACCTGCATCTCAGAGTTGATGTTCACTCTGGGACTCGAACCCAATACCTTTCGCTTCAAACGTCATCGCGTTATCCACTCAGCTTCTGAGTTCTGATAGCCACTTGCTTGTGCAAGTTATTATAATTAATATTACTATTTTCTTCTTGATTATTGCAGTGATTCAATTACAGTAGAAATTTCCGCGATATACTTTAACGAAACATGTACTGATGCTCAGTGTGATATAGCATTTCGTTATTCAGTAATGCCACTCACCACAATCCCATTCGTTATCAACTTCACGTTTTCCACTCTTGGATCTACATTCATGAAGACATTAACAATCACCGCTGAAACAAACTATTCTGTTCAGATGGTATGACTTGTATTTTTATCTCATTTTTATTCAACATTTCGTCTCAGAACGATATCACATTATTTGCTCATTGTTATGAGTGAGTAACAGACACACACAGCTTACAGAGTCAGAAGGTGACTTTGGTATTTTAGTTCGACTAGGTTTTGGGAATTTTGGCAAAAGTATCAAAACTACTTAGGTTTTGAAGGTGATCCCTCTGATAATATTTTCCAATGCAAACAACACGAATTAAGACCTGTTACAATTCATGCCGTACAAGTTTCGTGAGAAGCAGATGACTTTAACATCAACATGTTAGAGTTGTAGAATCATATTTGTTGTCACATACTAATGGTAGCATTTATTTTCAAAGTATCAGTTTGCGGTTGTAGAAATTGTTGGATTTTATTGAAGTCACCAACCTATCAAAGTTATACAATCACTGAAAAACTGGTAGCACTGGACAGTCGTTTCATTATAGTTCGGGATCACTCAGGAATCCACATCCACTAGGCTGAAGTTGGGAATCGAACCCAGGACCTTCGGTCTTCAGCGCAAACGCCTAACCTTTATACCCCTGAGTTGGGATCCAATGGTGTACAAGTCTAACTTCAATGAATCCGCGATAATGAGCGACTATCTCCCACTGACTTCTTGTGTCAGTTAATTTACGCCCAGTAGACAAAAGGGCTTCATGGTTATGAAAATGTTGTTATAACTGTGGGACTAAACCATGATCAGTTGGTTAACACTAATATTCCCAATGAATCGCATTTCAAAGCAGTTTGTAAGAAAGACTGGTCTGATGTTACAGATTTTAATTTTAAAAGACTGGAAATCAGAATTAGAAAGAGACGCTTGTTATGAATTGAATTTTCTGATGTAAATCTTGATTTCAGGAAGATAGCCTCATGAAGCGAAATGTAAGTAAATAAAAAGAAGTGAAAGTTGATCGATTTCCAGTTTGACAGAGTATGTTTGAATTAATGATCACATATATTGACTACACTTTATACTTAGGATTTTGTGAAGAATTAAAACCACTCCTCCATATGTTGTGGTAGTTTTTTACCTTTATATTTTACTGATATGAAAATTTATTTCATTGTCCTTTGAAAATATTCGACACTAATTTACGTTTGCCCGATCATTTTTAAGCTAAGAAACCAGGAACCCCAAGTGGAATTAGTTTCCATTGAGTCGATGACTACTAAAAATCAACTTATACCAAACACTTACACGTGGCTAAAGTTATCCTTAATTCCGAAACCCATTGTGTGGGGGACAATAGATTTTCAACTATATGCACCGGGTTCCTTCACAGAATACATCTTTTTAAATCCACAACTCAAAACCCAATGTTCATCATTACCGTTTATCAACTTATCAGCAACTCCTATAGATAATATGGTTTATATTAACGTGGACAGAACTTATTATGAAGGTTTGTTTGTGTATTTCACAATTTTATTGACCGAAGTTATTATCGATCGATTTCCTCTTATTAATAAATAGTAACCTTTTGCATAACTGATTTATAAATCATGACATCCATCAAATGAATTCCTCATGAATTGATTTTTAACGTTGTGCTTATACAAATACTGTTTCAATGATATCATTTCCAATTTTTGAACATCACATATAAGAAAACAATATTGTTTTCGATTAGATCCTCATCAGGTTTTACTCTAATATACAGTAATATTTATATGCACATACGAAATTAATAAACCAATCAAGGCAGTTTATGAGTCAATGATAACAGCGTTGTAGATTACATAATTAAAAATAATAATAAATGAAACGTACAAATTGATAGTGTGATGGCAGGTGTACTAGTTGTGATAAGAATAATAAAGGCTTGAAACAATGTTACATAATAGGGAAATAGGTCAATGATTAGAAAAATATAGACACTGAAATAACAGTCATAAAAATTATAAGATTACGTAATAAGAAGTGTTTAGATAATTGGACTGTGAAGCGAATATTTGAAAAATAATAAGTAGATAATCGGTGTGGAAAATAAAATTAATTATTAAGGCAAAGGGAGAGATAAGGGTGTTACAATATTCTTATGAACACAAAGACTTGGGTTGTTGGGTCGAATTCCTATAGCTTCTGCTATGTGTAAGAGACGAGATCGACGGGTTCGATTGGTGATTGGTGCATTAGTTCTCCACATTTCAGCTCCATACAGTAGAATTAACTGTGTTGTATCGAAAATTCAATGATATTGGCTAACAATTGTTTTGAGCTTTATATTAACTGTCACTGCATGATGTTCTTGATTTGCCAATCCTCACTTTATATCTACGATAGGTCCTCCTCGTTCATCGATGATGGTACACAAGTACGTCGACGCTTTCAACTCTTCCAGAGCTTGTCGATCACGTGTGATAGGGTTGGTGTACTCCGTGTTGTGTACAAGCATTTTGCTTATTCCCATGCATATGCAACCTACCTATTGAAGAACAGGCATCTTAAACACTGGCTATCTTCACATGAAATAGTGGGAATTCTAAAAAAACAAAAACGTCTATTAAAGAGTTCCTCGAAGTATTCTATCCATCTGTTCCTCTGTTCTTGAATCTCGGTGATTGATTTGCCTTCTTTGTCCTTGACCGGTCTCACTTGTTTACTATATTTCTCTGTTAGATTCTTCGTGGTGTAACATAGTTATTCCGTATTTCCTTCTCTCACAGCTTTTCCCACTGCCGTTGCTACTTCTTCTACAAATTTCTGTTTCTCAGCTACTATTGCTACTCTTCACTTTTTTGTTTCCTTCAGTGAATTCAGCTTGTGACTTGACTTTCTCTGTTCATGTTCGACTTTTGTTGTCAATTACTGTTTTCTTGTTCTTCCTTTCTCCAATCTTGTTCAGGGTTCGCATAGAGATGCAATCATTCTAGTGATGCTTGTTGTGGTCCACAATCTCCTGATATGTTGAATTTAGTTTCTCTTTGACTCCTTTCCAGTACTCCACCATCGTAGTTTATTCTTCTTTTTCTTCGTTCGGTAGATCTTGTAAGGCTTGTAGTGTATTGTTGAGAGTTCTCTTGAATTGGTTGAATTAGTTGGTATCTGGATGGAAGACTGTATTGAATCTTTGTCATGTTGTTTGACCAGTTGTCCAATGCTTCTTTAGCTGTAGTTTCGTCCTCGCAACAATCAGGTAGATGGTGATCTGAATACACGTCAGCTACTCATACACATGCATTTGCAAATCTGTCAACACTCTCGTTCCTTTCTCCCAGTCCCAGACCATGTCGTTCCATGATATTATCATATCTAGTGTTATCCATTCCGAATTCGCTGTTTACGTCTGCCATCAGAATGGTAAGGTCTATTCCTGTGCACTTTGCTATGATTGATTGCGGCCTCTCGTTAAACTGATCTTTATCGTCACCATTGCTATCATTGGTGGGTGCGCAACATTGGAATACATTCACTGTGATTTCGTCCTTCTTTGTTTCGATCGATGATTTGATGATTTTGGATTCATGAGATTCCCACCAAATAAGTGCGTTTCGTGCTTCATTGGACAGCTCCATCGGGACAACTCCCTGAGTGTGAGAAATATCTTCTTCTTATTCGTGACTGGAGTCCAACAGAATCTCTCCTGAATCTATGCTTTTCTGTTGAGGTTGATTGCGATGGTTTTTACTGATTCCGAGTACTATTGTGTTGTATCTTCTCACTTCCGTTGCTATTTGACTAGTGCTTCTGGCCTTCCATATTATCTGAACATTCTATGTACCTATTAACATTATTTCTGTGGTTGTTCGGATTGGCATCAGCTTCATGACATGCGAAGAATCTCAGCTTTCATCATGAAGCATCATAATTGCTTTAGAGAACAGGGAAGGTCAATGAATGTTTTAGTCAACTGGAAAATTCATTCTTATTTCCGAAAGCTTCAATAAATCACTTGATTGATTCTTGATTAAACAAATCATAGATTATATTTTCGTGTTGAGCGAGTTTTTCTGGACAAGAAACTGAAATTCGGAGTCTTTTGGCATTAAAGATAAATTTAATGATTTCTTATGAACAAGTTCAATCGTATTATTTAGTTGGTTGTAGTGAGTTAGGACCTTTGATATATATCTTGGATACAACTTTGTAGTGATAAATTAACATTTGATTTTAACACGACAAAATTTACAAAATGTAAAACTAAATACTCAATAAGCTTGGTTTTGTCAAACTTAGTGAAATAAATTTGATTTTTGATTGATTGTAACTGAGGTAAGTCAATAATATCATCTTGTTGCTGTTTGCAACTATGTATTCATCATGTTCAGGAATTACTAGATGTTGATGATATGATATATCTGTTCACGTGGTAAATTCCAAGTGATAAAGTTCATCTTATAATTATCAAATAATCACAATCAATAACCTAAAATAGATGATTAATCTCATTGTACACTTCATACAATTGACACTGTTTTTCTTCGTCCATATTTAATTACAACCTATTTCAGATAAAAACAAATAACTGCTGATGAGTCCTATAATATGACGAAACTGCCGTCCAATATTTCCAGGTTTTCCATGGTGGTCTAGTTTCAATTGATTCATGATCTCAACTATTAAAAATTTATTTGTTAGTTTGTGTTTTGATTTTGTCTAGGAATGGTGAATGATTCAACATTATCACTAACAAATGAGATAAGTTATTATATTCCAATATTTACTGCTAATTATAAAAATGTACCGGTAAATTTCACTTACAATGTGACAATTGGTTCTTATTCTAATTTTGGTAGCTTTATGTTTATTACCACTACTCCAGCAGTAAGTTAAATTATTTTATATTTTCACAAGGCGGTTTTTGTGGAAATTTTAGTAATTTTATATAGTTAAGATCATGAGACAATTGAAGCTAGACCGCCATGGAAAACCTGGAAGCACTGGATGACCGTTTCGTCCTATTGTGCCTCGTGGGATGCTAGCGCGAGACTGGTAGGTCCTGGGTTCGAATCTCCCGGAGGCGGGATCGTGGATGC